GTTCAACTAGTTGCCCAACTTCCCTGCAATCAGCCCCACCCTCACTTCCAGCAAAACCTCCAATGGCATCCCCATCATCCCTGCCACCCCCTGGATTGGCATTGTCGTGTGCTTCAACTTTTTCATTACTCTCTGATAAAACACTTACAGTTTGATTGTTTACATTATCAGTCTTTCCAGGTTCCTTGGCTTTGTTTTTAATTTCTTCGTTTACTTTCGTCACTTTGCTGGCATCATTTTTTTCCTGTTTCAAACTTCTTGTTGGCTCAATTCTTATGGGCGCTAAATTTTTTCGGTGCCTAATTTCTGAATGTCGATTTGTGTTGTCTATGTTTAACTTTTTTGATTGCATAGATGGCTGATGGTCTGTGGATCTCTTCCTGGTGGCCTCATTGTAGTGAGTCCTCTCATTGTTCGTTGGACGTTTCTTGCTGTCCCGAATGAAAACATCCCCCAGGTGGACAGTTTCATTCAGAGTGACCAAAAAGACCTCTTGTCTATCGAGGGTGATTCCAATCAGGCCGTCGATTTGAAACTCCGACTGAAAGTGCAGACCGTTCTTGCAGAGGAGTGTGATGGTCTCACGTAAAAGGTCGTTAACTCGTTGTTGATCTGGTGTTAGCATGTTTCAATTTGACTGGATTTGTAGATGTCTAGACGATCTCTAATTTTTTCTTAATGAGCAAATATCGGTAAGAAACAAAAAATAAAATTATTAATATTAATTACGATAATTATAATATAATTAGACTTGAAAAGATGAGATGCAGTTCAATTCAAGGGAGCTCTTGTTACAAAACCATTATGATTATAAAATATAAATAAAGTATAATAATCAAAATATCAAGCAAGTTTTTAAATTCAATTTAAATTTTAATTGGATTATTATTTGAATTTAACCAACTGAAACTTTCATACAAACTAACTAAAACCAAAATGTAAAACTTGACGTAAATTTGTCAGACTCAGCTAATTGACAACTAATTAGATTAGCATTAGTTAGAGATTAACATTCGAATTATCAAAATTAACCATGAGATGCTAAAAATTTTGAAAAAAAGTCGATCAGCAATACTAAATAAGCAATCCACCTAAGTATGACCTAACTTGTCTCCCCAACGAACGCTTAGTGACATTTAATCGGACGAGAACATGATTTTTGCAAACATTATCAAAACAAAAACAAGGCAGTTATCTGTAGCTCCATAATCAACCATTCCATTTTGTGACTTTTTGAAATTATTAGGTCTAAAAAAAATTGTTTTCAAGAAATATTTTTAAATTTTATCAAATTTTTTACAGATTTTTATTTTATTAAGTAATCATAAAATTAATGGGTGCATGAATTAAAAGATTTATCAACGAAAACGTTTAAAATTCACTATTGAAAACGCGTTTTAGCGTACCACACTATTTGTCTTTTGTTCAAGATCAATCATGCCGTTAGCTTTGTTCGTTTTGCTAATTAAACTGGCGGAAGTTTAATTAATTTTTATTTTATTTTTTACAAATTCTAGCACCCAAATCATCATTGTCCGAAACAATAGAATTGTTCAGGCAAATAAAGAGATATTTGTTATCTTAAGTTTTATCCTGTCGTTATTAAAATTATTAAATTTTCAAGATTTTTTCCATTAAAAAAAACTAACTCATTCAATTTATAATTTAAGATGAAAAATTAAAAAACTGTTTTTATTTATTAATGAGAAAAGTTGCATGCATAGACAACACAAACTAAGGACATTAATATAGAATATACGTATCATACATTATATATAATGTGGTTATTTTATATACATGGCTGAGGACTTGACATTATTTTTGTTCTCAAACATTCTAT